ATGTAACAAAGTAATTAGAGTAGCCCTACAATAGGCTTATTGGTAGTTTAATTGTTGTTTGCTTGACTGTTAATCGGATATCTGACATCCCTTTTGAGAAAATACGAGTTAAAGGGTGTTTGGATGTGCGGTTGCAAGCAACRACCGAAAACCAGAATCAGATAATTAGCTGTAACAAAGTATTAAGTTGGTCAGCTGAATCTTTCTTTCTAACAAGAAGTCTTTTTCGAACTAATAAGCAAGAAGCGATGGCTCAAGTGGGAAAACTTGCTTTATAGAAAGATAAGTCACTGAAATTTGATTAATGTAATGGTAACAAGTCTTGTTCAATAAAAAAGGGTTTTGTCCTGTAAAGATGGTAGGCCACAAGATGATCTTCTAAAATGTATCTTTTGCTTTTACAATTTCTACTAACAAAAGGTAGAATCCACCTTTCATTCTCAAACCCCTGTTCATGTTCCCACTACTTTAATTCAAACAATAAACAACAAATCAACAACTATTTCACATAAATAAGCAAACATAGACATTAACCTAATCAACAAATCAAATACTATCAACTACCCTTTACCYCATATCATGAGTTAAATATATTATTTTTAATTATTTGTGGTAACTGTGGGTGTCCAGACCAGCTTGTGTGCACCTTGACTAATCCTATTGGAGCCCTAAAGATAACATCAGGAAAATTTCAAGTGGCTCTAACGAGAATCGAAGTGGTGACCTATGGGGAGGAACCCCAAGGCCTAACCGTATTTTTTTTGAAGGGTGTCCCAAGAGACTAATCCGACAAATTGTGATTGTAAGACATCAGCTTGGAATTGAACCCAAGGCAGATGGGTCCTAGCCTTTATTTGTCGGTTGAGCTAGCCTACAAGGTTATAAGATTGGTATATGAAGGCTAGTGATTTGAGATGATTAATGGGAAGTTAGTCAATGGAGACAGAGCTAGTGTCGGTTGAATCAAGATAACATAAAGAGTAAATTGGCACCGGTACCTACATCCTTGGGTACGTTTGGTACGTGGATTGGATAGGACCAGACGGACAAGAATGAGGTAGATGGATGAAAGAATTCTAGAAAGTTTTAGGGTTCTAACCTRACATGTGTAGTTTAGTAATTTACCAATATTGTCTCGTATCCCTAATTTTTTTGGTTAACTATGGGTTTCCATGCCAGCTTACGCGCACCCATTAATCCCCCGGGTGACCACAAATGGCCTGGAGTCATCTCCCTGATTTTTGTCCTACCTATTCTGGTTAGACTRTAAAAATGCATTTTTGTCCCACTCAGGTCATGTCGTGTCCCAATATAATGTTGCACCAAACTTGTGACAACAAGTTTTTGTAGTGTCATATCATGTCTCGTCATACGTACTAAACACACCCATGATAGTGTGTGTGTGTGTATATATATATATGTATATGTATAAAGAAGTATCCTAAAAAGTTCAGAACTTTGCAATGGTTTGTCCTGCATTTATTACAAMTTAGATTATRATATGCATAAATTAATAACATTAGTGAWCAAATAATATTGATATCATAATACCCACAAGGTTATACAATATTATCCTTTGATTCCAGTCAAAGTTGCTTTTAATCAAAAGYAGGTATTTGGGGTCACTGTACTGTTTTTATGTAGAATTTAGTATTTGGGGTTAAAGTATATGAATAATCTTTTACTTAAACAATACTCCATCTTGTACYAGCCAAGGTGAGATTAGTCAAACAAGTTCTTGTTTTTGGCATGCATTGTTTTATCTTATTAGGGAATGTTGGAATAATATGAAGACTTTATGGCACTTGTAACTCAATTGGTAAAGGGGCGGAGCAACTTTGCTCAAATACACAACAGGTATTGGCTTTAACCTCTCCGCTAGCCTCAGCCACTGAGGGATTGTTTGGTTGATTTTCTATYAAGTCTTGTATGGATAAAGTTGTCTTGCATGTCTATGTGGATTAATCTGTCTATATAGATTGAGAAGGTTTTTGTTTGGGAGGATTTTTCATAGATAAAACGAGCATGATTTTTAATTGGGATGAGCAGGTTTGGAGAAAAAGTTTGGCTTCTGCATAAAGCTCCCTCCCCTAAAAACTTACTGAATAAGCCACTTTCCATATCATTCAGCCACTACCAAAGAGTC